TCCCAGATGGTGCCTCTTTCTCCCACCTGTACCCCAAAGAGCATCCCTTCGCTGGGCCATCTCTCTGGGGATATCTCTCTTTTGCTGGCTGACTTTGGCAGCAGTTGCAAAACAATAGGCCATGGTCTGGAGGTTACCATGGAGTCCTCATCCTCACTGTCCCCTCAGCTCTGAATTCTCTTCCAAATGACAGTCACCGACCCAGGAGTATGTGTGCCGAAAGCCAGGAGAAGTCATCGAGTCTGGGCACACAGCAGGCGTGTCGACTGGTACTCTGGGCTCCTCACCCAGTGTGTGAGAGGCCCACCGCGCCCCATTTCCACTCTCCAGATGAGGTGGGCGCTCTCCAGGGAGAACTGAACCTCTTGACCTGACCTTACCTTCTCTCCCTTGAAGGAGGAAGGGTGGGAGGCAAAACCCTGAGCAAAATCCACAGGATCCGGGGCAAATGGCAATGTAAAGCCTTTAACTTGTGAATCATTAAGAATTTCAAGTCATACATAAATCAAAACTGGGCCTTTCTGAGGGTGGCATCCTCTGCAGCTGCTCCAGTCACACCTCACAAAGCTGGCCCAGGGCAAGGAATTTTTTTCAGACCTGCACAGAAGCTGAGAGCCCAGGGCCCTCTTTTCCTGGTACAAGACACTCTGTGGGTGCTGTTCAGGCCTGCTGTCTAAGCATCGGGCCAGAAATTCCTTTCTACTGTTTGTCTGCTTGCCTTCCCTCCAAGCAGTCCCTGGGCAGCCCTGAAAATAACAGACCATTGGTTCTCGAACCCAAGTTTGCATCCAACCCTCCTGGGATATTGTGTGTCTTTGATAAATGTCGGGCTGGGAATCTGTGTTTTGAATACTAGTTAGCCTAGGTGATGCCTCTGATCCAGCGATGGTGCTGTGAGAACCACGTGTGTCATAGGAGCTTTTGAGCCAGGTGAATCTCACCGTCCGTCTTCGTGCCTGATCAGACTGCAGGAAGGCTGGTCCCGACCTGCTCTGAGTCTGTCTACTCCCCACGCCCCACCCCCTCCAGGTGATGCAGCAGCCCAGAGGCCTCCCAGTGCTGATTTCCTGTTTTCCTTTTCAGCGTGGTGAACCAGGATGAAAAGTCATTTGCCATTGGGGTACAGTTCTTGTTGATGCGCTTGCTGGGTAGGTAACGAAGACCTTTCCTTCTGGATTCGAGGCCCTGGACCATGGGCATCTAAAGGCTACGGGGAGGGGCCGGGGAAGACAGGGTTGGGAGATGCCCCGCCTCAAGTCAGCTGTCTAGGGAGCTGTGTACAACCAATGCAAGTATCAAACCCTGACGGGGCAGTTTGCCTAATTGCTTGAGATCAGGAGGGATAAATTCCGTCTACGGCATTTGAGCCAAACTAAATTATGTAAGAAAAAGAAAAGAAAAGGGCATAGCTGAAAATACTGGATACAGAGTTAAAAGCAGGTATTTTTAAACTTTCTCCAAGAATCTGCCCTAGGAAACAAAACCTTGCATTCCTACCCCAGACAGCAGCTTCTGAACTGAGCCCTGGCTTTCTTCCCGTTTTCCAGACTTCTCTCCTCTGTCATGGTTCAGCAAATGTCTGTTCTGCCAGGGGATCCTCTGCCTATGAACCCTGCCTGTCTTCAAGTAGCCTGGAGCCCCCCATCTCACCCCTAAAGCTGTGCATACGCGCATGCACGTGACCCACGGAGGGAGGGAGAACTCCCGTGGGAGCAGGAGGCACCTGGCTTTCCCTGAGTACAGGGACTGTGGGGTGAGGGGACACATTGCTGATGCTTTCCCAGGCTTCCTACCCTTAACACATGTGTGCATTAGACTGAACACAAGGCACTAAGATGGAGGTCTTGCTATGGGGATGAACGGAAGTAAAGAGACTAAATTCAACAGAGGATCTTTGTACTAAGAATTACAGGGATGGGGATTTGAAGATTCCAGCCAGAAGGACTCTTCAGTTACTAGCAGTGAGCACCTTCCCGCCTTAACCACTGAAACCACGTGAAGCCTGCTCTGCATTATTAAGCAGAGGTGCAGGTCACATCCATCATCCTTCCGGCACGTGCTATGCTCCCTCCTGACTCCGTCAGCTGGGCAGGAGCCTGTGCAGGGTCTGAGCCAGCGTTTCAGTGGAGTTTCTTGGCCTCGGGCCACTTGTCCTGTGATGAAGTCCCTCTAAGTTCCAAAGGATCCTTCTTAACTCTCCTAATGATGACTGTCACCTTCCTGGGCCACACAGGGGACGCAGGGCGTCTTGTCTGAGCAGAAACTGGTTTGTCAGCACAGCTCCTTCTATTCATTGATCATCTAGCACTTCTAGCTCATTCCTGACTTATTCTAACGTCCTGGCTGTTAGAGACAAGGCATTCCTTCCAGCTGACCGCCTGCCCTGCTTCTCTGTGTGGCTGGAGAATGGCCTCTCGTCCCTCTGCTCCAAGCACCTGCTGCTTTTGCTCTTCCACCTGAGCTCAGATAACTCAGCGTTAGGGCCACGGTTAGGAAGCTCAGGCCCAGAGGAATTCCACTCACTGCTCAAGAACACAGCTCCACTCTGGAGTAGATGAAAAGATGGCTATTTATAAACTCCAGCAGGTTTGCAGTTACCCACTGAGATGTGGTTGAAAGCTTGCCTTGACTGCTAGTTAGGAATGTCACTAGAGTTGGTTTCTAGCCACGTTTCACTTGGAAACTGGAAAGTGACCAGGGGCTGAGAGGCCACTTCTAGATGTTTCTTACTTAAGGGTGAGGCCACAGAGCTGGATCACCTCTTCTAGAAACAACAACTCACTGGGTGTAGACAGTTGGATGTTTTCAGCACCATGTTTCTGAGTAGGGGATGGCCCATCCCCAGTGTCAGTCCTGGACAAGTCCACCCTGACCCACTGGCTGCCCAGAACTTAGATAACAACAAGGAGGATGGTGGAATTGGGTAGCGGGCATCTAGAATGTTCAGCACCCAGTAAAGCATTGTGCCTGCTGGACTACGTAGAAATTACCACTCAGGTCCTGGGACATTTGGCAGCCTAGGTTCTGAGCAACTGGGGTATCCAGGGTCTCCAAGGGGTGTTGTCTAATCCAGAGGGGCAGTTTGGAGTGGGAGAAGAACATGGGATTTGAACTTCAGTGAAGTGGGGTCCAGTGCATCCCTGGCTTCTCTTGCTCACTTGTTCCTCATTATGATGAAGCCACCTGGAGGCCATGTGAGGAGTTGGGGGACATTAGTACTCTCCAGATGCAATCTCTACTTGGGGCCAACCTTGAGCAGGAGAACTAAACTGTGTGGTGTGTGTGAGCTGACATCAGGGTGACCCTGTGATTCATTCAGCCCTGAAAGGATTCCCCTTTATCTCCTAAGCCTTCGGGTGAAAGGGAATTCAAGCTTCACTGATAGTTTTCTGCTTTCCCAAGTCACTGTGATTCCGAGGGCAAGGTAGAGTTGGCCTCAGATGTGTGACCGGGCCATTGGTGTGGGGGACCCGGGCATCTCTGACTGCAGCTCCATGTGACCCAGGCACTCTGAATTCTCTTTCCCATTGTTGCCAGCCTGGCTGCCATCTCCAGCCCTGTATGGTCTCATCATCGACTCCTCCTGTATCCGGTGGAACTATCTATGCTCAGGGAGACGAGGGGCCTGTTCATATTATGACAATGACGCTCTCCGAAACAGGTGAGGGCTCCCCCACACACGGGTATCTAAGAGATTAGGCCTGTGGTCCCAGCAGACAAACAAAACAAACAGACAAGAAACCAAACAGGCATTTGCCTCGTGGCCGTGGTGGTGGCTGTCAGGCTTCTAAGGGACAAGATAGGAGGGATGTCTCTGCAAACTCTGCTGTGGACAGAGAGCAGGGGCCACCATGGCAGGCATTTGGAGACCTGTGAGGAGCCGTTCAGGCAAGGAAACATCGGGTCTGCATTGAGGTGTCCCCCGAGGTTCTGTCCCTCGTGAGCCCATAGCAGCAGAAAAAGTTCACCAAGGGTAAAGGGGCGCCTCGAGGCTGAGAGAGAGATTATGAATATGAGAAGATACCACACAATCTCCACTGTTCAGAGAGAGGGAAACCATAGCACGGCACCCAGCAGAGGTGTCCCAGGAAAGGGTCTAACCTATGCCAGTGAGCCAAGTCCAGCCCAGCACCCCAGAGCACTGTCCTATGCCAGTGAGCCAAATCCAGCCCAGCACCCCAGAGCACTGTCCTACACCAGTGAGCCAAATCCAGCCATCTCTCCTGTTGCCTCCATTTGGTGGAGAAGGTGGGCTGGAAGGGGCTGTGCAAAGGCTAGAAATCCTGAGGGCTGGCAGAGAAGGCCAGCAGAGGGGCAGCAGAAAGGTGCAGACCCTCTGGACACCACTGGGACAGCACTGTCACCTCTGACCCTCAGTGGTATCACTGGAGACCAGAGAATCGTATGTATGTCCAAAGTGTCCCCCACCTGGGAGGTGACAGCCCGTTAGCTGAGTGATGGCCGTCACAGCTCCTAGGCCACGGTGAAAACAGCGTCCATCCTCCTGCTGGCCTTGGTCCGGGGACATGGGCTGACGGGCTCTCCTCCCTCACCGCTCCTCCCTCCTCCTGCCTCCTAGGTACCTGGGCCTGCAGGTGGGCTACAAGGCCCTGGGCACACTGCTGCTCTTCTTCATCAGCTGGAGAGTGAAGAAGAATAGGGAATACAGCCTGCAAGAGAACGCCTCGGGCCTCATCTGACCGGCAGTCAGGGCTGTTGCCCTGTCTCAGAGACTGGATCCCATCCCTCCACACACCTGCCTCTATTAGCTAATGTTAACGTGCCCTCTCCTTTTCTTTGTCTTCCTTTCTTCCTCCCTCCCTCCCTCCCTCCTAATCTTCCCTTTTTTTATAGAAAGATAGTCTCATTCACCCTTTGTCTCACCTGCCTCCTCCTCCTAAAGTCTCCCCCATGGTTATTGAGGTGTACGGAGCTGGATGAGCACTGATCTGGAGGGTCCAGTTTCACAAACCCCTTGGAAGGGGTCCCCCACATAGGCAGGCTCTCCTCAGCACCAGGTCCTCCAACAAGGTGCCCATGAGGCATCATCCCCTGCTCTCACCAGCCTCTCAGGAATACTTCAGAAGAGTGAGACTAGGGGCCGTGCCTTCCGTGGCAGGCAGCCCAGCTCTCCTCTGATTCCACACCCTGTTGAGAGGCAGAGTGAGAGAAGGAGAAGGAGGTGGTTGATTTCTTAACCAGGAGCTAGCTATGGCTGCTTTTCATCTGGAGTCAGCCTAGTGTGGAGCCCAGGATGGGCTGGTTCCCTTTGTTTTCTCACTTTCTGCCCCCTAGGCTGATTTGGAAGCCACCATTTGGGGAAGTACAGACCTCTATAACCTACACCCTGGTATCAGAGCAGGAACTAAAGAGCCGGAGGCCAGGTCATCCCCACACTGTTCCTATGAACCTGAGGCCTCTCTACTCTCCTAGCAGCATTATGCTTCTCTCTGCCTTTCTGGGGTTGCATTTCAAACTGAGAAAGCCACAAGAAGACCCAAGAGGGCCTAGTCTCCCACTGTCCCCGTGGAGACCAGACCCTTCCCATTCAGACACAAGAGGCCCTCCCTACCGTTACCTGGCACCAGAAGAGCAGCTGCACATGGACTTCACTGTCTGGACTTCAGCCCATGTGCAGAAGAGTAAAGGGAGGCCATCTGAGATGCAGCAGATCACCCGAGCAAGTGATGGAGCCGAGCGGATGTCACCTGTCACTGTGCTTGATGGCAAGCTGCAGCCACAGAGAAAGCAGCCAGCTTGGCTTGCTTGCAAACACATTGTATTCATTGGCATTTTCTCAGCCTCTCACTGCCTCTGGGGTGGAGGTGGGCACCTTCTGTGGGCCTGGGCTGGGGCCCACCACTGCTATGCCACAGAGGGGCAAAGGCAGAAGCCCAGGAAGGAAGGCTTTTTACCAGTGATTCTGTTTATTGGAGTCTGAGGTGGTGCTTGGCTGTAATATTACACGGTTCTCTGAGAGCACCCCTGTAAATCTGACCTCCATTCAGACTAGGGCCTCCTCCCAGAGAGCACTAGGTGGTCAGCAGGGACACACTCACATGCTTGCCAAGCATATCAAGTACCCAAAGATTGGCAGAGAAGATCCTGACATGACCACCCATGCCATTTAGGGCTCCACCTGACTGACTGTGCACCTGACCCTGCGTGAGATGAAGAACCAGCTCACCATGTCCCTGAAGCAGCTAGACAATTGTCATTGCCCTCTGTGACATTTAAGTGCCTTCCAGAAATGTCTTATATGTCAGTGTGGCCAAGCTGCTGACACTGAAGTCGTGGTGGAAGCCACTGTTACTGACAGCGCTCTTTCTGAAGCCACCCGGCTTATTTCCACAGATCTTACTTGGGAGGAGGCTCCACACAACCTCATGGGCCAGTTTCAGCATGTGCAATGGTCCTGCTTGGAACATGATCCTCTGCAACTAACCCTGGGCTTACTCACTGCAGTTTAACCAAATTGTGAAGGCATGGCCTTCAGCCAACCTCACGAACAATGAATGCCAATCTTCGGGTTCTGAAAGATTGGTTGTCCCCACAAGCCTTTATTCTATTGTATTGCTATTAATATATTATAATTTTGTTATGAGTGTAAGTTGGTCATTAATTTGTGCTGTCATGTGCCTAGCAGAGAGCAGACAGAATCTGTTCCTTCTAAACAAAGGAAATACCCATGCTTCAACCTTAGAGGTCTGTAGTCAAGGGCACTAGAGTCCATATCACCCTCAAGCCATCTGCCTGGTGCTGAGTAGACCCCAGGTATTGCTTGCGGTTGTGTGGGTCCTTGGCTTGCTTTCCTTGCAGGCCAATGTCAAAGACCCATGAGAATGAGCTCTTGGGACGCCCAATCATTGCCCTTGAGTTCATATCCAGAAGTGGGGCTGGTCATAAACAACTATATCCATGAATACCATAGTCATTTACTATTATCTAGCAAATCTTGCCCCTCAAATGCCAGAGGGGCTATAAGGATCTCACTTTCTTTTCAATTAGAGAGCAAAATGTCACACACTTTAATTGTATCATGCTCAAGATTACTGTTAAAATTTCAAAACACCCTACACAAAGTCTGAGTCCATGTCTATGACTGTAAAAGGGATCCAGAAAGTCCACTTTCCAGGTAGGTGGATGTAGCCCTCAAATCCTATGTGGTGAGTTAGAGCCAAGTCTGGTCAAACTGACCATCAACATTAACCACCAAAGATGCCTTTCCATTTAAGAAGGCCATAAAAGGTCTTTGGTCCTTCTTGTTTCTCCATGAAGCCTAGAAGTCCTGTAGAGTCTGACTCAGGGCCAGGGTCCCCTTCCTGGGCACAGCCACAGCTATAACTTTTCCTGCCACCTCATTGGAAGATGTACCACCCAGCCTCCCAAGGGAGGATCCAAGGGACCAGGAAGTAAAGGGTCTGCAGGGATTTTCCACCCATCTTCTGACTCTTAGAAGAAGAAAGGGGTATCTCTATCAAGCAGCCTTTGGTTCAAAGCCTTCTGGTGGGATCCTCACCACAGTTCATGATGAAGGCCACACTAGTCTTGGGATTCTATTTGAAAATGAAGAATCTTAGCTGGGCATGGTGGAGCACACCTTTAATTCCAGCACTTGAGAGGCAGGTGGATTTCTGTGAGTTCAAGACCAGTCTGATCTACATAGTGAGTTCCAGGACAGCCAAGTCTACCAAGTCTACATACTGAGACCCTGTCTTGAAAAATCTAAGGAGAGAGAGAGAGAGAGAGAGAGAGAGAGAGAGAGAGAGAGAGAGAGAGAGAGAGAGAGAGACTCTAAAGTCAAAGAAGCAGCCAGCAAGGTCCACATGACACAAATAACTCACCAAGCTGTCCAGTTCTTTCTGGCTGCCCCAACCCCCTCTCTTCTTCCTGAAGTTATGGGGAGTCATCCTGAAGTTATGGGGAGCCTTAGGTAGTGAAAAGTCCCCCTCTTTTCCCACTGAAGTCCACTGACTTGTGAGAGGGAAGTGGAGATATCTCTTTAGGGCCATATAGGTGGGTGGTAGAGGTTGGGAGACCCAGGTAACTATTTCACTTGCCCACTGTCTGTTCAAGTATTCTAAGAACGTTACAACTACTCATGAGACAAGACCTGGTGAGCCCTGTGGGCACCACACGGTAAAGAACAGACACAGAGGACAGAACTCTGAGAAGCAGAGCTGTGAGAATGAGGCACACAGACAGACCTTTTGGGGACACTAGCATCTGGTAACTGGATATCACTGGTATCACTTAAGAAACAAAGTCATGTTGTATTTGCTTCAACACTTTCAAAGATGAAGAGATGTGGCTAAGCTGGGTCCTGAATTAGTGTTAACTCGATATTAAAATATTGTATTGCAGCTTCCCAGAGAGATTGGCAGTGGTGTGTGTGAGACAGAGGTTGGTGTGTGTGTGTGTGTGTGTGTGTGTGTGTGTGTGTGTGTGTGTGTGTGTGTGTAAGAGAGAGGTTGGGGTGGGGAATCTGTAAATCCAGGAGAAAAAAATCTCATCTTTCCCAGCCACAGGAACCAAACATTGGAGGAAAAAAATGTCCATTCCCTGCCAAGAGGGCCAGATTCGTTAACCTTTCATCAGTGATTAAATATGTCAACAGGTTCCGGGCAAGCCCTTGGCAAATCATTAATGAGAGAAAGCCTTTCTCTCGTGACAAGCCCTGCCCATTTATCAGTCTCCACACCCATTCCCAGCCCTGTACTGTGGCCACGGGACACAGGGCTCTCTACCTTGCTAAAGTCCTTGCTCCCTAGACACCTGCTTACACTTTGATAACAATAATAAAATGTGCGTAGATCATTACAGTTTGCCAAGCAATGCGCTCATTTAACGAACTCCTCGACTCACTCAGAATAGACTTGGCTAGGCTTCCCCGAGCCTCACCAGTCTCAGTCACACGACACAACACACATTTATCTCTTGTTTGCACAAAGCCCATGGCTTGTCTGGGTGACTCCATAGGGCAGTGTGGCTTCCAAGGGTGGCTCAGTATGCCAGCTATTTGGACTTGAGACACCTCTGTTTCATCATCCACAATTAATGAGGCAGGGAAGAAAGCTAAGAAGGTCTCGCCTTGATAAGCAAGTGTTTCGGCCAAAAGGCGTAGAGTCTTTCTGTTCCCAGGCCCTTGGTCAGAACTAGTCTCCTGGCCATGTCTAACTGCTGTATAGGTGGGGAAATAGAATCCTCCGGGCTCAGAGAGGCGAGGGGGCAGATTTGGACAAGTGCTAGAATCTTCCACCATGGGCAGTGATCCTAGGTGAACCAATATGCTCACTGAGACCCTTCAACTAGCCTTGACAGACTGTTGGAAGAGGAATGAGTCCAGCCAGGAAACCCCAGGAGAGGAAGCATCCACAGTGGGTCCCCAGACAGGAAAAGATGATGTCTCGGCAGGGCCAGGACTGACTTAGGGACAAAGGTGGGCTCAGAAGAGGCAGAGATGATGGATCAAAGGCTGGGAGAGATGCGGGTTCAGAAAAGGGTTCTCTTTAATTGACAGAGACCTAGGCAAAGGATGCGAAGGCTGAGGAGCTGGAGGGAGGATGGCCGATTGAGCATGCCCCCCGGAGGGGAGGAGTCTCTCCAGAGCTTCTCCCTGAACAGTGAGGCCAGCGTGACCATCACATCCCACAGATAAATAAATGAGGTTCCTTCCAGCTGTCAGTCATGCTTTGTTTAGTAGCTGGTGTATGCAAGGACCAGATGTGACACATTCCTTGATGTTGCAGAGTGTATACCTTGAACAAGGAGCCAAGAACCAAGAGCTCTGAATTCAGTTGAGAAACCAGAGAAAGGACTAGAGCTGATTTCAAGGGTCAAAAGTGTAAGCAGACGGGACAACGAAGTTGTGAACAAAGGTAGGAAAGAAGGCGTGCAAACGGGCACATTCTGAGAACTCACTGGTCGGGGGCGCCTGAAGAACAGCGATCAGGCCAGGAGAGGAGTAGTGTCTTAACAGCTCCTTAGCGGTCCTTCAGGGCTGGCTTAGACCATGAAGACTGGAGCCAGCCCTGTTCTCTGCCCATTCAAAACCTGAGGGATGGCCTTAGAGGCCAGTCAAACAGTCCCATGAGGGCATTCCTAGCTCAGAATGGTGTCTAGCTCAAAGTACAGCCCCAGGGGTATACCCCAGAGAGCGGAAAAGTCACCCTCTCAAGCAGTCCGGGGTTACTCCTGGGGGAGCCTCCCTCCTTTGCGGCAGCCAGAGCTGGCTCCCCCTCCCCCTTTTCCTCCTATCTTGCTCTCCAGGTGGGAGCTGGAGCCCCAGGGCTGTAATTGGAAGTCACAGAGACAGACTCAGTGTACAGTGGGGCCGCTTATTTTAACAGGTCCTCTGTTCCGGTTCCTTATGTGACCCCAAAGTCCTTCTCTTTGCACTGTGGGTCTCTCAGTACTTCATCTAAAGTGTGCACAGCATCCAAATCTCCGAGTGACCTCAGAGGTCTCAGATAGGGACAAACATTAGACGGAAAGTTCTTGTCCCTCACAAATACCAGCTTACAGGGAACGGGCACTCGAAATAACAAGAGGGCTCTCCACTGGGCTTGTCCTGGGAAAAGGCAATCGGAATTCCAGAAAGGCTCCAGAAGTCAAGAGTAGGTTAAAAGATCAAAGAACGCCCTCCGTGCTTTCTGCGTGAATCGTGAGGTGCAATTACCACGCTGTTTAATGACAGGGGAGCAGATCTGGCTCCTGGGCAGAGAGCAGTGTCCCGGCCCTGTTCTTGCAGCATCACCAACGCTCCCGGCCTCTGCAATCTCAGTCTGCCACCAGGGGGCACCGCTCAACTGAGCCGTGATGAAGTAGCGCCACCCCGGGGGTCACCGCGTCTAGCCTGCTGAGAGGGTGTTCCTGCTGGTAGGAAGCTCGCTGAGAAGGGCACCCCTCAAACCCACCGCCACACTCTGACATTCCAGACTCCCCACCCAAGCACCCTCGGCCCTGTGGGCGAGTATGATTTCCCCAGGCCCTGCGACAGTATGGGCAGGGTGGTCTGGCTGCATCACGGGACCCCTCTCACCCAGGGGCTGTCAGCCTCCCCACGATCCACAGGCTGCAGTATTCAGCGGCTGCAGGGCCCTCAGTGGGCTTCCACCTCTACCGCCTAGGGCTCCAGTGTTTATCAGGGCACCTCTTGGGCCTCAGGAACTGGCCTCTGAGAGAAATCTGTCCTAATCAAAGGCACTGCCCACCTCCAGAAAAGGTTCCTGTGCCCCGGTCACCTTCTAGGACACTCTGGAAAGGACTGAGCTCCAAGGCTAGGGACAGAGTGAACAAGACTAATGACGCCCCTTGCTCCTTGGGAGCAAAGACAGGAAGGCACACAAACTGGGCCCCTACGATTGGCTGATCGATTCCAGGAGCTGCGTTGCTTGAAGGAGACTCGCAGAGAGACGCCTGTATCCTGATGCAGGGGAAACTGGATTCCCCAACTTTGGCCTCAAATCTGCTATCCTTGACTTCTACATCTCAGCTAATGGCATTCCAGCCTTAAGAGATTAGGCCAAAAACTTACAAACAACATGAAAACATATTTTAAGTGCCTTTCCTGGCAAGGCACAATCAAAATCATTTCAAGTCTCTTACTGT